TTTTTCTAAGCTAGCTTTTAAACTGTCATTTGGCTTTATATTCCTGCATATTTGGATGTGTAAGCCTTTTGGGGAGAGATGGTAAATGAACAATGCATGGGAAGTGCAAGATCTAAATTAAAAGCTCAATCTTTTTGATATTGATCCTTGAACTAACAAAGTAACTCCACCTGATAAAAGCCTGAGCAATAAGATAACACATTTTAGTATGAGAAAAATATCTTGTAGGCTGGGCCTTATTGTAGTAGTAAGCATCTTTATTAACAGGAGGAAATATAGTGTACGTGATTTGGACAGTAACTTACTGCGGGAGCCTTTGACCAAGAATGTAATGGCAAGAGAAAAGTCTCTTGGCAAGCTTGTAGGGGAACAGTGTTTATTGGCTATTTTAAATATAATGAATCATATAAGCTTAACACAAAACAGTGTTATTCAGGTTGGGTCCTTCTGAGTTACTTGTATAAAAAGTTATACTGATGTCTGAGTACACAAAAAAACAGCAGAGAGATTTTCAAAGCTTTTTTTGGATTTGATTTTTTGTTGATTGATATTTTAAAACCTGACAGACTGTTTTATTTGAAGTACATGAAACATCATGGTGTAGTGCGTTAATCTGTTATTCTGTGCACGCTTTGAGTGAACATAGATAAAAACTAGAAGGATTTTTCTTATACTGCATTGTAGTGGTAGCACTCATTGGAAAACCTGTCAGAATAGTGGCGCAGAGTATCTTTCCGTAAATAATTAGAACAACAACCCTGCAACATTTCTCCTCTAAATAACGTTTAGCAAAAAATAAAGTTTAAAGAATAGGATTCCATCCTGTCAGCAGTATCAACCTAGTACCATAACCGGTCTTGATACTGTTCCAGGTTTCATGGTACGTGAGCGATGTCTCTTTTCAGCTTCCTGTTCAAGTATGACGCATCACGGTGTGCAGGCTGCCCTAAAAAGTCTTTGGGCCTCTCTGCGTTGCTAAGCTTCTTTTTCTTCTACTTTTTTTTTTTTTTTCTTCTCCTGTCTGCCTAAGGTAGTCTTCTCTATTTACACAATATTTAAGCAGTTGGCAATATGTATGTGCATACTTATGTTGACTGTTTTTGCATCGTATCAAAATGGCTTGATTTGCTCCAGCTTTTGCAGTGCAGCTTTTGCAGTGCTTGTTACTAAAACAGAGCAATTCTGTGGTTTAACACTTGGTAACAACTTTTTTTTTTATTTTTCTTTTAATGAGAAATGAAAACAGCAGGTAGCCTGTTTCATTTTGTTCTCCATTTCTACAACAGAAAAATTTCTGCTCCATTACTGATGTGGCAGTGGCTTTATTTTATTTTGCTTTGGTGTCTGCAAGATCTTGTTGAAGCCAGTGACAGTTTTGTTGTGAACAGTAGTGCATACTGAGATTGAGTCTTGAGTGAAGGGAAGTATGAAGTGAAATGTTCAGCAACATTCCTCTGGGTATCAGAGAGAGTTAAATTTTCTCTATCTTTTATGCTGAATTTTATAATCTTCTTTTCTCATACGAAAGTAGAAAAATGACAGGCATTTGGCACATTTGTGTTGTGTTGAGAAGGTTAAAAGCCTTAACTGGCAAAGTGTTGGGGTGATATTTAGGTTTTAATCTATAATCGATTTAACTGATGTGATCAATTTTCCTTTGATTTTTTTTTTAATGAATTAATCCCTATGATATTATGCCAGGAGTGTTCCAGTAGAGATCTAATAATAAATTAAGTAATAAGACTGAGGTATTCCTTGGACATCTTGTTGGATATGTAGAATGTGAGAACAGAAACAGCTAAGGTATCCACTGTATTTTCAAAATGAAAAGAAGCTAGGCAGAAATACCCCAGTAGTACTATGTTTTAAAAGCTACAGGTAAGTAAAAAGTGGCAAGTAAGATTCACAATTTAAGAATAAAGTAAATTTGTTAAAGAGGGAAGATAAACGAATTAAATCATTATCCTTCTATTCCAACAACGACATTTCTTATCAGTATATTAATATAGTAGATGAAAGAACTACTGTTCAGTTGCACTAAACCTCATAGAAGAGCTCGAGAAACAAAAAGTAGATTTTCCGTGTGCTCAGTTAACATGTTAAATTTGTTTTTATGAATCTAACAGTAATGTGTTTTCTTGGTCCACTGAGTTCTGATATTGTATGATTTTTGTCTCTCTAGTCTTTAACAAAGCTTCTACAAGAAGTGCAGTGCCAGGACGTGCATTTTTGTAGACTGGGATTGTATTAGGAATTGAAATCAGGCAAATTTCTTAGGGAATTTGAATGCACTCTTTTTTCTCTTTACTATTTTTTTCTTTTTCCTTTTTTTTAGGGATTATTCCTCCTCACCATGAATCTCATGCTTTGGTGATGAAATACCGGAGTGAGCAGTACTGGGATGTGCACCATGCTCTCCGTATAATTCGTTTTATCAATGATTCTACCCCACAGGTAGATGTTTTCCTCCGGATACATCAGTTGGAATCAGGAAAATTGCCTCGAAACTCAGCTTTTCCTTTGGTCAGTTGTCACTTTATTTTTTTTTAATAATTCTAAAATAATTTTAATTTTAGTTAGCATCATAGTTAAACCCTTTGAAAAATTGAGCTGTAAGTAGCAGAACGGATATACTTAGATAAAGTAAGGTAGATGCAAAACAGAGAAAAACTACTATGAAATAAGCGATTTTAGTTAAAGTGTTTTTTTCTTTTTGTTTTTCTGATACTTAGATGAGGTTTTATGCCTTAAAATGTCTTTTGTGTATTTCTTGTGTATCTTGCTATACCTCAGACCTTTTGTACTCTGGTTTTTACTGTAATTTCTTTATGGCACTGAAATAAAAATGACATAGTCTTACGGAAGCTCGTAGATGCTTAAATGGCCTGGAGCAATGATAGTTCTGAATTGACAGAAGCAGCAATTAGTGAAAATTACATCCTATTTCTGAATTGTCTGTTTTTAAATGTAGACTTTAATGAATTGGCCTTTTCTGCTAGTCTGTCTGATCTAGAGTCCTGTAAAGTACAGCATGTACTTTACAGTACCCTCAAATATAGGTAAAACAAGTCTATAGTGTGATGATAACAGCAATGTGTGGATCCCTTGTATGAGCATCTGTAATAAAGGAGGTGATGAAAAGCCGTGGGGCTTCTTGATGTGGGTTTTGCTTGCCCCTTATTTAATGTTCACTCATCTATGTTAAATCTAGCCCTGTTTATGCTATTTTTCATCTGTAATAACTAAATTTGATAAAAGAACTTGCGTAATATTTTTATGTTGACTAGTGATGGGCCGTTGCATCCTTTTTTTGTGCAATTGTTTGTACTAGCTCGTGGGCTTGCTTGCTTTTCTAATGAGCTATTTCACTGTTATAAAGAGTGTATCCCGGACAGATCCAGTTAGCCAGCTATGCTTGATGGGCTGCTGAGGTGCCTTTTTTTTTTTTTTTCCTTGTTATGCCAGCCAGTTTGCAGTGCAGTCACTGTCCTCTTAAACTCGGAGACTGCTAGATAGTTATGCAGATGTGCCTCTGTGGAGGTAGAGGTAACAGTAAGTGTGGTTTAGGCAGGCTGGTACTTGTGGTAGGAAAGGATGCCACCTGGTGAGAAGATGACTGTGTGACGGTCACAAACCTGTAGTATTTTCCTGCGAGACCAAGACAGTCATCTTTGGAATCAGTATTCATTTGGCTCCAGAAAGATGCTTATCTCAAACCAAATAATTTTCTTTTTGATTTAAAAAAAAAGACATGTTTGTCTTTTCTGCTTTAACAGGTATCTGTTGCCCAGTGCTTTGTTTGTGGATGTTAGAATGGTTATTGTCTGTGGATGTTGATTCTGCCATGTTTTTTTCCCAAATAGAATGGAAAAGAAATACAACAATAATTTAAATCAAACAATTCACTACTTCTATATTCACCTTTTTACTTTCCCAGGAACCAGAAGATGAAGTGTTTCTTGCCATTGCTAAGGCGATGGAGGAAATGGTGAAGGACCCTATAGAGTGCTACTGGCTAGTTAGTTGCTTTGTGAATCAGCTGAATAGCAAGCACAAAGACTCATTACAGCAGCTGGTAAGAAATTCTTTCTGTTTGTTTTGAGAATAGAGATAGAGATGGGGAGGAAGAAGTCAACCACGATTGTTGAGGATTTTGAAAGTTACAGTGCCTGGGTGCTAAGCGGAGTGTCAGAAGTGGTGTCTCCTGGATCCTGCTTTGCCAGCAGTTTTGAGAAAATGCAAGAGCACTACTCCCATTGTAATTTGTACTGTTCTGTAGGATACTTTGTCTACTCTAGCATTAGAAATTGTTTCCTACACTGCACATCTTTTTGAAATTTAACTGTTTTGTTTAATTAAACTTTTTAGGATGTGTCTCTGGCTTCCATATGCTCATTGTGTTGTAGTGAGACAAAGCACAATTGTATTACTTTGTAAATCGATGCAGCGGTACTTGACATCTTTAGAAAAATAGTATTTTACAAATTAAGTTCCCGTAGTGTTACTGTTTTGTACCTTTTTAGGAAAATGCGTACTTATAAAATCTGCTTCATTTATGTAAAGGGTCTTGTAATTCTTCAAATACTATTAAAGACAAGAAATCTTTTAGTTAGCAACATCCACTGAGATGAACATACTTGACGATCTGTGGACTAGCAATCATTGGAAAAAGATTCTTTCCAGAATAGTAAGAATAGGTCCTTTGTTTGTTACTCCTTTGGAGCTAAGAAATACTCTTTTAAACCTGCCTCCTATTGCTGCAGCGGTTACGTTCAGCTATAGCAATTTCTGTAATTCCTTGTAAAGGGCAGAGGAGTATTTCTGAAGAATGTACTGTTGTTACAAAGGGATGCCAAGTGTCTCCTTCTCTAGTTTTATAACACATACCTTGTACCAAGACTCTGGATAGTAGAATATGGACAAAGGAATTTTTTTCCTTCAACAGCTGAGGTAATTAGCTATTTCTGTAATTATGACAAAAAGGATAAAAAGAATCTTACATTTATGAAAGTGTGTGTGCTGTTACATTAGACTTTAAACACAAAACAAGAATTATACACTTTTATTTTGTAGTCTTATCTTATGCTGTTCTGTTGGCTTTTCTAAATGCTTTGGGTTCTTAAAGAAGAAATCAATGCCCAGCCTTTAACGTATTGCACAGGGATTTACTTTGAGAATTGATTTCCTTGGTTTTGCTGCATAGGTTTCTTCGATGAGTGCTAAGGAGATTAGGTTTGTAGGGAATGAAACTCAGTTTTACTTGTGATGCTAGTAGTAATTAGTGCAGGTTTAATCTCTGCATTGCCTTAAGCTCTGAAATATCTTGTTGCCTAGAGAATTCTGCATATATTGAGAGTCCTGCTAGTGGTCAGCAATTTAGGGAATACAGGGAGTGTTTGTTCATTAAAATATCTAATTAACTAGTTGCAAAAATCAGCAACACCTGTATCTTGGGTCAGTTTTTTTGTTAAAATAATCCAAGTTCAGTATTTTAGCATGTGTTTATATGTATTTTTTTTTAATCCACTGTTTTCCAGTGCGTGTTGGCTATGGAGTGTGCTCTGATATGAATCATCTAAATTTTCCAATTCCTTTCTCAGCCAAAAATTCTGGAGCAGTATTTGAACGTCGAAGATAACAGGCTCCTGATGCATCTGAAAGCATGTTCTGCAATGAGCAAACTTCCTTATCATCTTTGGTTTAAAAAGTGTTTTGCAGGTTGTTTACCTGAGTCCAGTTTACAGAGGTAAGTTTTCTTTCTTTTTTTTTCTTTTATTTTTTTTTTTTTTCCACCTTTAGGTTTGTACTTGCTTAGTAGCACACAGTGGTACTCTGGTAGTCCCAGCTTCTTGTTACTACCAACACGTGAGCTCCCCTCACTTCATTTGTAATATTATGGAATTGACTCAAAAATAATGTTGATTTGGAAAGGACAAAATCAGATTCAGTTCTACTTGTATGGATGCAAGATAATCTGTGTGTTATCATTTCTGATATTGGAATTAAAAAAGAATGAAGTTAAATGTAGCAGGTGATTCTGTTAAGCATTCAGTCCTCTTAGGGTTTAAAACTCCCAAATTCCTATTTAGGGATAGAGAGCTGCATGTAGTGAGTTTTCAAGCTTTTTAACTGAGATCCTTGCTTAGGGATTATACTTTATTATCAGATTTAAAAAGATTTGGGGGAATGTATTAAGACAGGTTCAGTATTGCAATATTTATGAAATAATAGTGCATTTTAGGAGGGTTCTGCGGTTGAAAATTGGCTGTCTGGCTTTTCAAATGGGAAATTCTCAGTGCAGGGCCTTTGAAATTATGCTTGTATGATTTTTTTAATTCTGCCATCTGAGAACTCGAGGGTAATGGAAAATTCAAGCTAGATGAAGAGCATCCTTTCTGCATTCACAAGGGAGTTGCTGGGAGCAGAGCAGGAGTTGGTTGGAAGGAGAGAATGGTTTTGTTTTCAGTGACCTCTTCAAAATTTGAGAAAGAACAAGAAGATTCAGGGGAAGTTTCCGCTGTCTTCTAGAATATTTTGTTTGCCCTTGTGAAAATAAGAGATTTTCAGAGAACAGCTTTAAGATTAGCCATCGCACTCTCCAGTCTTGGCATTACCCTGTGGTGCTTGTTACAGCAGGTCAGTCTTGCTGAGCACATGCGGGGCTATAAAATAATCAAGTACAGGTGGGTAGTGATTGGTGGGCGTTTTTCAATCCTTAGTTTTGTGAGTACAGTAGCCCTGTATAAAATGTTTGTTACATCCCTAAAAGCAATTGAATGACTTACGATTTGCCTGCACCCCTCATATTTATATTTGAAGGATAATTTTATTATTAATCAGTATATTGACTCAATATAAAATATTGTCTAGCTGTACTGCTTATGATATTTTGAAAATTAAAAGTATTTTGCATAAAAAATGTTAAAATACTGATTTTTTTCTATCACTGGAAGAAAATTTCATTGTGATGGAGCTTCAAACAGCACTGCAATCCCACTTCCCAACAGTTTTGATATGGGAAAATGCTAAAAGTGCACTTGCCCTTGTCCGTTTAGGTTTCTGCATTATTCAGTTGCAATCATAATGGCTCATTTGCTAAGGAAGTAACATACTTTATGGGCAGCATGTGACAGATGAACTTAATTAATGCTTGAAGATTGCTTGGTTTAGAATCTAGAAGCCCAAATGCTTATCTGAAATGTAGCCAAATGGCAGTACTGGAACCGCCGAGAACTAAAAACACGTCTCCAATTCTCCTGTGAGTTTTACTTTGTGTTGGTCAAGTGAGAGGTAATCTGAGCTCAGTCTGTTATGGTTTAATTTATCATATGTGTTAACACTGCTTTTCATAGATAGCTTGTCGCCTTGACTAAATCATAGTGTTCTCTGACAGGTAGCTAAATATAAATGACATCTTTTCCTTTCTGTCTTTATTTTTTTTTTGTACTCTAACTTACAAGATTTGTGCAGGCTGTGCAGAAGTTTTATCCCTAACAGTGAGATGAAGTATGCATGATACCCGTTTTATTCCTGACATGCATTTGTTTTTCAGTAGAAGTACTGTTTTATATTGCACTTCTAGTGGTAATGTAGGTAAAATTTGTTTATCAGTTTAATCTAAATTAATTTGAAAAACTTTGATAAACCACTGTCATGTAGAAACATTTTCTTTTGGTCTTGTACAAAACCTCTGTTTTGCTAATGCCCTTGGTGTATCATGCAGCAATGTTCTTCAGCAAACTTCTTAGAGCTTCCACTTGCAGTGGCCTGGGGGAAAATGATTCCTCAAGGCTCTGTATCCAGCCTGGAATATAGACCTGGTGCTTCCTGGAACACGAGCCTGCGTGCAGCACAGGCTTGCGAGGGGCAGCAAGCCCATCCCTGAAAAAGTGAGGGAGTTGGATCACCGCTCTTGTTTGTGCTCCCCGTGCTCGGCACGTTTTGGTGAGCGCCGTGTGTGGGGAGCTGCCAACAGCGCCGTGCGGGCAGAGCCCTGCTGTTGAGCCCCGCTCTCCCGCTTGGGCCTTCAGTTGCACGAACAAAATTGTCCTTTCCTTCCTCCTTTATTCCAGCCCTGTCACCCAGGTGTTCCACCTACAGCAGAAGTAGTGCAGCTTCACAGATACCGCTGTGTATGAACTGTGGCTGTTTTTGTGGCCCAGTGTTGGCAGTGATGTATCTCCTCCCTGGGTAACATTGTTTGTAGTTTGAAGTGGAGGCTTGAGCAGGGATGCAGCGAGCTTTTTAGCCTCTGGTAACTTGTTTGTCCCAGAGTACGTAATAATTCTCCTGAAACTGTGTGACTGCATTTCAAAACTGGCATTGCCTCGTGTATTAGTGTATGGCTTGTATAGTTTTGCGACTGTGATCTCTGCGTCCTGCAGGAGTTACATCCCATTGTAAAAATGAGACAATTGCTAGTAGAATTAACAGAAATATGAAGTACTTTAAATTTACTATGAAATATGAGAGCACAAGTGTGCCTGAGGGCTGCAGCTACAAAGAAATTGAGATGTGTGATTCTTAACTGCTAACTGCTAATCTATTTATGCTGGTGTCACAGCCATAGAATCATCATGGTTGGAAAA